TGTTGTTCCAAATGGGGGTCATGGGCTGAGTCGACACCCCAGAAATGTCTGCCTTGCTGCACACAGAGATGTTGAGATTACATGAAAAAACACGTTGGGATCACATAAGAGGATTATGTAAAGGATCTGAGCAGAGTTTTGCTAACAAAGAATGGTCCCTTAGTTTATATTCTAGAATCACATTCTAGATTGTAGTCTTTGCTGGAGGGCCCTGACCCATGAGCAAACCACCTTAACTCTTCAGAGGATCTGTTTGTCCTTGTCTACTGAGACTGGGGCCTTTGCACATTCTCACTATGCAGAGCAAGGCCATACACAGCTCTGTGGTCACCCATGACTCAGTGGCACTGAAATAGACATTAGAGGGATGCTGTCCCCCTCCCATCCCCTGGGCTTTAGCCACCCCTGCTCTGTAAGTCTCCACCCTGCTGTGTGCCTTACAAGAACTTTGGCATTTGCTGAAAGGTCACCAGCTGCAATTTCAGACCATGTGGGTAACTTGAACTTCCAGCATCTAAATGTAGCTGCAGATCGGCTACAATTGTCGCGCTTGTTGTCAGCCTGTGCTCAAAGGTGGCAGGGATAGCAAACCTCTCTCCAGCCCCTTTACGGGAAGTTGACTGCTTATAAATGACACCAGCCAACACGTCCTCCTTCTGTTCCCCAGACTGTCCAGTCTTCCGCTCATTCTTAACATCCTCAGTTTGTCCCGCTGCCTGGGCCAAAGCACTGGTTTCTGCTTCTGTTCTCATTTCCATCTACTGTGAACAGATACTTTTGTGAAATAGAATAAGAAGAATCACTGGAAAATGAAATTAAACACACACGCAAACAAGTTACCTACAAAATACAAGCCCCAATTTTTTAGTGTTAGATTGTAATTTTGTTTCCATTAAAATGATATGTTATTCTTAAATTTCAATAAAAATAATCAGAACACATCTAACAAGTGAAAATTGCTATAAAACAAACCTGTTGCCATCAAGTCAATTCTGACTGCTGGCCACCCCATGTGTGAAAGAGTAGAGCTGCCCCATAGGGTTTTCTTGGCTGTAAATTTTATGAAAGCAGATCACCAGGCCTTTCTTCTGTGGCACTGCTGGGTGGGTTCAAATTGCCAGCCTTTAAGTTAGTAGTCAAGCACAGACCATTTGTGCCACCTAGGAAAACTGGTACAGAAATTTCTAAATACCCTTAATTTCCTTCTTTCTTTTTTTAGAAATATCCTTAATTTCTGTACTTACCTCGTCATGGAGTAATGCCAGTTTGTGGCTTGTCCATGATCCACTTTGAATGCTTTTTATAAGTAAAAAAATTTTTTTCTTTTAATTCACAGTTCTGTTAATATTAACACATGAATATATTTGAGTAACCATCACCACAATCAGGATACAGAATAATTCCATCATGCAGAAAACTTCCCCACTTCCAGCCCCTGGCAAGCATTGAGCTGTTCTCCATCGCTGTAGTTTTGTCTTTTTGAGAATATCCTTTAAATGGAATCACACAACATTCAGTCTTTTGAGACTGATTGCTTTCACTCAGCGTAATGCCTTTGAGATTCATCTGAGTAGCTGCATGTAACTGTAGTTCATTCCTTTTTATTGCTGAAGAGTATTCCATTGTACGGACGTACCACCGTTTATTTATCCATTCACTAGCTGAAGGGCGTTTGGGTTATTTCCAGTTTCTGACAATTATAAATAAAACCGCCGTAATATTTCTGTATGGGTTTTGATTGAATGTAAGTTTTCGTTAATTTAGAGTAGAAGTGACAGTCCACCTTGAGTGGGGTTGCTTTACACCATCATGCAAGAAACCCTCTCAATCAGATGACAAGGTTAGACCTAAAAGAAAACCTAGATGCCAATCAACCAGCCCACCCTTTACATCTTGCAGTCATTTACTGGCCCAAAGCTCCTAACATCCAGCCACTGCTCTTTCTACAATTATGTAAGAAAAATCATTGTTGGTCTCTCCATGTCAAAAACAAAACTTAGTTATTTATTAATGACCAAATGACAAGTCAGGGTCAAAGAAAGTTCCATTCCATCGTTCTCAAACTTCTCAGAAGCTCTCTGGAAAGAAAAAGAGAGTTTTCCTGTTTAGATCCTAATGATACCAAAATTTAAAATGCAGATACCTTCTGGCACAGTGGTTCCTCTTCTAAAGATATATCTTCTTAAAGCACTCACACAGGTACACACACAATATAAGGATGCTTTGTTATGGATTGAATTGTGTCTTCCAAAGATGTGTGTCAACATGGCTAGGCCATGATTCCCAGGATTGTGTGATTGCCTACCATTTTGTCAACTGATGGGATTTTCTGATGTGTTGTAAATCTTACCTCTATGATGTTAATGAGGTGGGATTAGCGGAAGTTATGTTAATGAGGCAGGACTCAATCTACCAGATGAGGTTGTGTCTTTTGAGATATAAACGAGAAAAGCGAGCAGAGACAGGGGGACCTCATACCACCAAGAAACAAGAGCCAGAACAGCACGTCCTTTGGACCTGGGGTCCCTGCACTGAGAAGTTCCTTGGCCAGGGAAGATTGATGACAAGGACCTTCCCCCAGAGCTGATAGAGACAGAAACCCTTCCCGTGGAGCTGGCACCCTAAATTCGGACTTCTAACCTCCTAGACTGTGAGAGAATAAACTTTTCTTTGCTAAAGCCATCCACTTGTGGTATTTCTGTTATAGCAGCACTAGATAACTAAGACATGCTTGTTGCAGCATTGTTTGAAGAGAGAAATTTTCCAAAATAATTTAAATGTCCACATATTAGAATATAGTAAAAGAATCCAGTAAGTCTCTGTGTTCTGACATGAATTTATTTCCAAGATATTTTGCTATTGCAGACACCTTGAATTGGTTGACCCAATACCAGTGCCCAACTCTTGCAGTAAGGGGTCACCATATGACGGGAATCTGGCCGATGCTATATTAGTGGAAATCTGCTGGAGGCAGGCTTCTGATGAACTTTTTGTTTCTTAATAAAAGGGAGCACTGGTGGCACAGTGGTTAAGAGCTTCAGCTGCTAACCAAGAGTTTGGCAGTTCGATCCACCAGTCACTCCTTAGAAACCCTATGGGGTAGTTCTGCTCTGTCCTATAGGGTCACTGAGTTGTAATCAACTCGAGGGCAACGGTTTTTTTTTTTTTTTTTTTACTGGATAGAGGAGTCCCTGTGTGGCACAAATGGTTAAGCACCGAGCTACTAACCAAAAGGTTGGTGGTTCAAACACATCAAAATTCACCTCAGAGGAAAAGCCTGGCAATCTGCTTATGAAAGGTCACAACCTAGAAAATCCTATGGAGCACAGTTCTAACTCTGCACACGGGGTTGCCATGAGTCAGAAATTTGACTTAATGGCAACTGGTTTTGTTTTTTATGTGAATGGAGCTACCCTTTCTCCCCTTTTTGAGGCTTTAGTGTGGACTAGATGTTTGGAACTGTGGTGGTCATTTTGTGCCCATGAGATGACAGATATGAAGGCAAAACCTGGCAGACTAAGGAGTGCAGAGTGGTCCCAAATGGAACATTTGGATAGTTGAATGAGTGCAACCTCCCACTGAGTTTCATGGCCTATGAGAAAAATAAGACCCTATATATTTAAATCACTCTGAGTTTTCTATTACTTGCAGCTAAACACATTCTTAACTGAAATAACTGTCAATGGAAAAAAAACAATTGCAGAGCAATTTGCATATTCTACTATTTTGTAAAATGGAATTACATGTGTATACGTAAGTGTTACATATACATCAGAGAATTTGGAAGGACAATAGCAACTAAGATGTGCTGAGTAGATACTATGTGCTAGTCACGTGATCTTATCACTTTTAATCCTCACAACCAGTCTGTAAGGTACGTATTTTATTGTTTCCCTATTTACAAGCAAAGTAGCCTTGGTGAAGTGGTTAAGCAGCTCAGCTGCTAACCAAAAGGTCAGCAGTTTGAACCCACCAGCTGCTCTATGGGAGAAAGATGTGGCATAAAGATTGCAGCCTTGAAAACCCTATGGGGCAGTTCTACTCTGTCCTATAGGGTCACTATAAGTAGGAATTTACTTGACAATAATGGGATTTACGAGAGGAAGCTGAGGCTTCGAGGGGTTTAGTAACTTTTCCAAGTCATACAACTTGGAATTTGGGGATGATTAAAATGGACTCAGAGCCAGGTCTACCTGCCACCAGAGAAAATGTCTGGAACACCATCTGCAGACCCCCGCCAGTGCCTATCAGCAATACAGAGCCCCCACCGGCTCTAACAGAAGTTATTTCTAGGGAGTGGCGTGTGGGATAGGCTGGTGGTGAGGACTTTTACTTTTTCATTAGATACTCCTGTAATTTTTAATAAATAAGCAAGTATCATTTTTATTACTAAAGGGAAAATCCCGAGAAACTGGTAACACAACAGTGGTGCTTGGTGCTCTGCTAAGAATGGGATTTTTTTTCTTCCACATTTGCCCATCTACTGTGAAAGCGATACATACTGCCTGGAAAAACAGTAAGGCGTCCTTTAAAACTTACTCAAAAGAGCCCTGGCCAAGAGAGCCCAGGATGGCCATTAGTTCACCGTGTGACCTATGCCCTAGATAAGATATCTGCTGATTCTGCCACCTATAACCAAGGGGGTAGGTTCTGCAGTGGAACCATGTGAATAATCCTTTTGAGTCCTTGAAGACTCAAAAATCAAATTAAAGACGTTCTTGATTTTCCTTGAGTAACTGACTTTCTCTTCTCCTACCTATTACAAGATGCTTGCTTCATAGGCTCTTTCGAGAGAAAGTAGGTTCCCGTCTCTGGGCAGAACAGTTCTATTTACAGCTTGCTCAGGGAGCCTTGGCAGCCTCCACAGTCAGCAATGCCAGAGATTTCTTTGAGGGCTTGTCCAGTCATTCCAACCATGTGGATTGGGGCACTCTTTCTTAAAGGTCCTTGCTTGGCTAGCACGGGTTTCTCCTCAGCTTAATACCGCAGAGCCACAGCCCTCAGAGATAAACAAGGCTTCCTGCAGGGATCACGGATTTGGGAAACTCCCCGCCACAATGGCAGACAGAAGCCCCTTTGAGACGGACATGCTCACCTTAACCCGCTATGTGATGGAAAAGGGGCGTCAGGCCAAAGGTACGGGGGAGCTCACCCAGCTGCTCAACTCCATGCTGACAGCCATCAAGGCCATCTCCTCGGCCGTGCGGAAGGCGGGCCTGGCCAACCTGTGAGTCCTGGGAGTGGGAGGCCGGTGGCAACCTCGGGATCTGGCCCTGTAGGTGGAGTGTGGTACATGCTCCAGGTGCTTGGACAAAAACAGGGCAAAGTCATATTTTCTAAGTTTTGTTACATATGTGGAGTTACCACAATAAAAAAAAATCTAGATGGTGAACAGGCAGATGATCAATGTACTAATCTGTCAAATGTTCTGTAGGTTTAAATTTTTTCAGAATACAAAGTTGGGGGAGAAAGCATATTTGCCCAACAGGTAAAATTGTGCCTCTGAGGGAAGTTGCATTTGAAATTTCTATCATGTCAGCTTTGATCAATGGGAATTTGACTTGTTTTAGGGAAGGAACAAACCACTTCAACACATGCTATAGAGACAAAAGAGACATAATTTTTCCAGTTATCATTGATCATTATGATTACAAGCTCAGTGGCTTGCTGCATTAAATAATATATTGAATTATCATGACCTGTAATTTGCACGGGGAGATTTTGTACAGATAAACAGCAAGCGGAGGTGAGACTTCTCTTTATGTTCTTTGCAGATATGAGCACAACCTTTGCCAATATATTAACCACCAGTTGCCATTGAGTCAATTCTGACTCATGGCAACCTCAAGTCTGTCAGAGTAGAATTTTGTTCCATAGTGTTTTCAGTGGCTGATTTTTTGGAAGTAGATCTGCAGGTCTTTTATCCCAGGTGCCTCTGGGTGGACTTGAACCTCCAACCTCTGGGTTAGCAGCAGAGCACTTTAACTATTTGCATCACCCAGGGACTCCACCAATATGTTGGGGACTAGAAATCATTCACAAAATAGATAACTTCGCAGAGCCAAGTCCTGAATCTCCCTTTTCACTCTTGAAAGGAGTCTTTTGCTGGCTACATTTTTCATTTCTTCTCTGTGAGTCTGTCTTTAGCTTCTTCTCCACTTGGTGTCCAGGAAGCTGGGAGGTACTTAGGAGGAGGAAGAGAGAATTTACAGCAGAACGTTCTTCCCTTTTGTTCTCTTCTACTCTTTGCCCACGCACAGAACAAGGCAGTGTGCATGCTACTGCTGCAGAATGTCACTTTAAATCTGTGACAAAAAGGAACAGTCTTAATAAAAAGATCCGCAGTTGCTGGGGATTCAGGGGGAGGGGGAGGGATGAACAGGTAGAGCACGAGGCATTTTTAGGGCAGTGAAACTATTCTGTGTGACACTGTTGTGGAAGGCACATGACATGATGCATCTGTCAACAGTACTATACAGCATGGAGCCTGGTGGCGCAGTGGTTAAGAGCTCGGCTGCTCACCAAAAGGTCGGCAGTTTGAATCCCCCAGCCACTCCTTGGAAAACCTATGGGGCAGTTCTACTCTGTCCTATAGGGTCACTATGAGTCAGAATCGACTCAGTGCCAACGGGTTTGGTTTGGTTGGTTTACTATGCAGCACAGAGAGTGAGTGATCTCTAATGTAAACTCTGGACTGTAGTTAATCATAATGTATTAATATTGATTTATCAATTGTCACAAATATACTACACCAGTGTAAGATGCTAGTACTAGGGGAAACTGTGTGAGGGGGAGGTATATGAAGATCCTGTACTTTCTACACAATTTTTCTGTAAACCTACAACCACTCTAAAAAATAGTCTATTTTAAAAAATTACTCAGAAAGGAAGAAAGAAGGAAAGGAAGGACAAGAAAGAGTCTGTACTCAACTTTTCATGTTCTTTGTAGTAATCCAGTGGAGGTCATCTCAGAAGTTGAAAGGATCCATTTTTTTAACCCCAAAATGAAGAAATAACAAAATCCAATATATAATTAAAAAAAGAAAAAAACGATTGCCGTCGAATCAATTCTGACTCATAGTGACCCTATAAGACAAAGTAAAACTGCCCCATAGGGCTTCCAAGGAGCACCTGGTGAATTGGAACTGCCGACCTTTTGGTTAACAGCCAAGCTCTTAACCACTATGCCGACAGGGCTCGGAGATATAATTATCACAAGATAATTATAGAATTTATTCATCTAGTTTCCGTGACCCAGTAATGGATCCAGAGTTAAAGATGCATGTGACTGGGTTTTCTCCTCAGTGTATGGCTACAGCTGTATGTACTGCCTTACGGGACAATAATGTCCAAACTGCACATTTAAGGACCTTCGTGGATGTCAGTTCCAGCCACCTGTCCTCCCCTGCTCCTGCCAGGCCTGCTAGGATGTGACACTAATGAGTGACTTTGCCCTCCCTGATACAGCCCTGCCATGCTTCCAGCAATCTCGTGTGGCCCTGCTGCCATCTCATAGCACTGCTCACTCACCTTCTGCTCTGTGCAGGACGCTCAGCCACGCAGTGCTGCTGTGGTAGGGGTGTTACTAATCTGCTGCAAAAATCTCACTTTGCGCAGTTAATTCCAAAGTGGACTTGGGAATTAAATAATTAAGGTGCTTACCTAACTTCGCTTTTACTCACCTGTGATCATGGGCAATGAACTACTCTCACTAGGACCTGAGTTTCCCCATTTGTAAAACGGGAAAGATATTATTAGACCCTAACAAGAACAACTCATAGGTTGTTGTAAGAATTAGGAAGTCGGTGTGGTGACGATTTCAACAATCCAGCGCCATAACAAATGCTCACCAAATGCTAGTTATTACCACGATTCCAGGAGTCCGTGGGTAGTGGAAATGGTTAATGAGCAACAGTAAAAAGGTTGGAGGTTAGAGTCCACACAGAGGCACCTCGGAAGAAAGGTCTGGCGATCTATTTCCGAAAAATCAGCCATTGAGAACCCTATGGAGCGCAGTTCTACTGAGTCGACGCCATGAGTTGGAGTCAATGCCATGGCCACTGTTTCTCTGTTTTTTTGTACCATGATTCCAACCAAACTCAAACCTGGGCAAATTTGCCAGCTGGCTGGCCAATGTCTCAGACTGGCCAGTAGGTGGCAGGCTTGGCCTGTGGAAACAAGATGTCAGGCTTCCACATTTTTCTGGGCATCTGGCAGGGGACACATATTCTGCCAATTCACATGGCAGCCTTCCCCAGTTCCCTCTGTAACAGACACCTGCGGTGGCAGAAGGAGAAGCCCCATTGTCTGGAAAGTCCTTCTTACTAACAAGATACTCCGATTATTTTAAAACGCCCCTGGAATTGCTTCTCAGAGAGCTAAAAGATTGCCCCCTGTCCTGGGTCATGCATACTTATGCTCCTAAGAATGGGATATCCGCATATTCCTGTCACTTTCCCTGTTTAGGGGACCACAAACCCCTCATTCTTTTCCTTACTGTTTTTGGAAGACATATTTAGGCACAGCCTTCATAAACACAGTTTTAAAGATATCAGAAACTCACCTCTGCTTCTTATTTTCCTCTCCTTGCTGTGAGAAGACAGAAATGCTACAGTTCTTGCCCCTGGAAGCCTTTTTATGGCTTTCTAATGCCCCATGGTCAAACATTCCATTTTGGAATTTTCAGTACAGACGTTACCAAAACCACCAAAAACCAAGTCCACTGCCGTTGAGTCGATTCCAACTCATAGTGACCCTACTGGACAGAGTAGAACTGCCCCACAGGGTTTCCAAGGAGTGGCTGGTGGATTTCAACTACCCACCTTTTGGTTAGCAGCTGGAGCTCTTAACCACTGTGCCACCAGGGCTCCAGTAACTACTTTCATGCCGGTCAAAATGCTAAAAGATACTGTCCTACAGATTATAAAGCACTTTTTCACCCATGACCTAACATGAAGCAGTTGTCAGGCAGCTGCGCCTTATTGTGAAGGAGTTTCTGTTCTTTCTGGAGGGAGGAATGTTGGGAGAGGGCAGACGTAGCAGGATGCACAGCTGAGGAGGGGTGGTGGGATGGAGGTGGGGGTGACGTTTGCACAGCACGGGAAGGAGAGCCTGCTTCTCAGCTCGGCCCAGGACTGGCCTTCCACACTTCAGTGCTTCATTCTCCAACAGCAGCTGCTTCAAGATTCCATTTTGAAAAAGAAGATTGGGTTTGTGGTCCCTTTAAGCTCTATGCAAAATGATCCAGTGTTGTCGTTGTTTGTTTGTTTATTATTTTAAACTAAAAGGTACGAAGATCTACTCAGCCAGGCTAAGGCCAGGTTTACCGGTTACCCATGCGTCAATGACACATCCCCATGTGTGTCAGAATAGAACTGTGCTCCTTAGGGTTTTCAATGGCTGATCTTTCAGAAGTAGATTGCCAGACCGTTCTTCTGAGGTGCCTTTGGGTGGACTCGAACCTCCAACCTCTCGGTTAGCAGCCGAACGCATTAACCATTTGCACCACCCAGTGATTCCAAGTTGAGGCTACCAGTATGATTTTCCAAGGCAGCTGGCTCATCACATCACATCCCACATCAAATGATTGGAGGAGGGGCAGGGCCTGGGGCTGGAAAGGTGCTGTCAGTCAGGGAAGAGGCTGGGAAATGAGCCTGTGATAGGTGAGTACCCAGTTTATGGTATGTCAAAAGAATCTGAGGCAATAATAAAGTTAATCTATTAAACCAAAACCAAACCATTGCTCTCAAGTCGATTCCGACTCATAGAGACCCTATAGGACAGCGGAGAACTGTGCCACAGGGTTTCCAAGGCTGTACTCTTTATGGAAGCAGATTGCCATGTCTTTCTCCCGCTGATGTTTTGGTTTAGCAGCGGAGCCCTTAACCACTTCTCCATCAGGGCTCCTTAACTAATCTGTTAAACCAAACAAACCAAACCCATTGCCGTCGAGTTGATTCTGACTCATAGCGACCCTATAGGACAGAGTAGAACTGTCCCATAGGGCTTCCGAGGAGTGGCTGGTGGATTCGAACTGTTGACCTTTTGGTTAGCAGCCAAGCTCTTAACCACTGGGTCACCAAGGTTCCTATTAGATGAAGTTTATTCAGGCAGAAGATTCTCAAATGGGGTAGCACCAAACCATAAGCAGAAAGGTACTCTACCAAGTATCAGCAGTAATTATCTTATATTGACAAAACTCGGAAACAAAAGAAGCTTATTTCTGATTGGCTTATGCAATTTACTATTGAAACACTGTCAGGATTTCATTGGTCAACGAGGGTGGAAGTGACATCAGAATCTCGTTGGTCTACGAGGGTAACCTGATTTACAGGAACGCTAGGCTTAAGTTTCGGTAAAGACAAGTCTTAGGGGCATTGTCAACCACAGAACTCCATTTTTATTTCATTTAATGGGTAGATCAGTGGTTCTCAACCCTGGCTACTTGTTAAAATCCCCTGAAGTTTCCTTCAACAAATAAATGGCATTAAAAAAGAAAAAAGAACAGGAGGGGAAGGGAAATGACTTTCCAGCTATCCTTCCTCATAATTCAGTAAACATACAGTGAACATCTATACCCCTGGCACTGTAGAAACAAAGACAAATAAGCCACAATTCTCACCAAAAGCAAGCATACAATCCAGCAAGAAAGACATTCCCATGGTCGAATGGTGAGCCACTGTGGCAGAAACTACAAGGGTGTGCCCGGTGTGTGTGTGTGTGGAGAGGCAACGCCAGGATTAGGGAAGCTTCCTGGAGGGGGTGAGGAAGCAGGAGCTAACGGTGGGCAGAGAGCATTCATGAGTGACTGTGAAAAGGAGAGGACCTGTTTGCGGTCAGGGGTGGTTCAGTGGCAGAATTCTCCCCTTCCATGCAGGACACCAGGGTTCAGTTCCCAGCCAATCCACCTGCCCAGCCGCCATCCATCTGCATTGGAGGCTTGTGCGTTGCACTAATGTTGAACAGGTTTCAGTGGAGCTTCCAGACTAAGACAGACTAGGAGGAAGGGCCTAGCAATCTACCTGCAAAAATCAGCCAGTGAAAACCCTACAGATCACAATGGTCAGATCTGCAACCGAGCATGAGGCTGGAGCAGTACTAGGCAGAGTTTCATTCATTGTGCATGGGGTTGCCATGAGTCAGGGCTGACTGCACGACAGCTGACAATAGCTTGTAGGGTGCAGGGAACCACAGGACATTTGCAACTGCTGGGTTGCAAGATGGTGAGGCAGGGAGTGGCTAAGACATGCAGCAAGAGGGAGAGGATGGAGATGAAGGTAGAGAATCCTGTTTGCAAAAGTCAGCATCTTGGAGTGGTGTGGGGGCAGTCATTCATCCTAAGTGTTTTTGTCGATGCAGACTACCTTTAAAGTTCCAGTAGAGGTAACAATTTGATGACTAAACAGCAAAAGAATTGAGCTCACTGTCTAGATACTAGGAATATAGAGGTGAACAAAACAGAAAAAAACAAACTCTGCCTTTGTGGAGCTTACAGACAATAAAAAATGACGTTACTCAGAACTGAAGCCCACTTTTCAGACATAGATTAGACAGGACTATAAAACAAACAATAACACAAGTGAGGAATGAGCGTCTTAGTTCAATCAAATGGGCAACTGCTGCCCCAAAGCAGGACAAGAAGACAGGGAGGGACAGCAACTGGACGAATGGACACAGGGAGCCCAGAATGGAAAGGGGGATCATGCTGTCACATTGTGGAGATTGTAGCCAGTGTCCCAAAAGAATATGTGTATAAATTTTTGAATGAGAAACTAACTTGAGCTGTAAACTTTCACCTAAAGCACAATTTAAAAAAAAAGAAGTTAGATGGTGATGGTGATAAGGGCTAAGGAGAAAAAAATAAACCAGGAAAGATGTTGGGGGAGAGGATGCTATTTTGGATATACGGCCAGGGAAGTCATCACTGGGAAACTTTTTTTTTTTTTTATGGTAAATATATATGTAACAAAACATTTGCCCATTTCATTCAGTGACACTAATTATGAGAACATGATCTTTGGGTCAAGCTTGAGTGCAGGGATGGCCCCATGGCTTTTGGAGGGGAGAGAGTCCAAGGAAGGGGGGCTTCGATGTGTTCCAGAAACAATTAGGAGGCCGAGACTGGCAAAGTGAGGGCAAAAGGGGTAGGAGCCAAGGTCATCATGGAGACAGGTCCCATGGATGAGTCTGTAGCCCACTGTGAGAACTTGGGCTTTAACTGTGGGAGAGACGGGGTGACGGGTGACGTGACCTGACTTGTTTTATGAGAATCTCTCTGCTGTTGTGTTGAGAATATCCTGAAGGGGGCGATGGTGGAAGCAGGAGGCCTCTGCATATTAATTTTCTAAAATACAAAGGTTCTAGGTATAATTTTTATAGTGGTGATCTTTCTTATGTTGCTTGGGCAGTAGTGAGGAACCAGATCAAATTAGGTAAGCTCTGTCCACAGATTTCTTTCTGAATTCAGTAATGCCAAGCTACTGCAAGGCAGGTTTTAATTTAATCCAACAGGACACCATTTGAGGATAATCAACAAATATGTTTGATACCAGGGCAGGGAAGCCATGATCCTTCACTTTTTGAAGACATTAATTGTGGCAATGTGTCTGATTTTAGAAACTTTCCTATCTTCTTTATCTACCAGTGCAGAGTGTAGGTTTGTATATTAGTTAGATTGAATGATGGTTAATCTTACTGGGGAGGCTCTGGGTGGGGCAAATGGCAGGGGTGTCACTAGGGCTGGTGTCACCCAGGGCGGTAACTCACGGTGTCACTAGGGCTGGTGTCACCCAGGGCGGTAACTCACGGTGTCACTAGGGCTGGTGTCACCCAGGGCGGTAACTCATGGTGTCACTAGGGCTGGTGTCACCCAGGGTGGTAACTCACGGTGTCACTAGGGCTGGTGTCACCCAGGGCGGTAACTCATGGTGTCACCCCCCCATGCTAATTACCACAATATTGTAGCTAAAACACCAGAAAAACTGACAAAATCATTGCCTGTAAAAATTCTGGCAGCAACGAAAACAGCAGTGTGTGTTTGTAGTGCGTGCAGATGAAATCATGTGATTCGAAGCATCGATGAAATTGGATAATAATGACAGCTCTTACCGGAGCGCATTAGAAAATTCAAAAAGCAAATTAGCATAGAATTTTAGCCTTGTAGGTATATTAATACATATAAACTGGGCTTATGAAAAAGATTGTTGTTATAACTAACTACAGGGATATTTTTATTAAAAATAATATATTTCTGCTGAAACACTGCATACAAATTTTACAGACAGTAATTCTGGTGTCACCTCCTCGGACAGTGTCACCTGGTGTGATCTGCATCTCCTCCACCTCCCTAGTGACACCACTGGCACATGGTTAATACACTGAACTGCTAACTGAAAGGTTGGAGGTTAAAGCCCACCCAGAGACACCTCAGAAGAAAGGCCTGGCAATCTAATTCTGAAACATCAGCCATAGAAAACTGTTGGGATTCCAGATCGCAATTAATGAGCATATTGAAACACAGTGAAAAATGTAACTAATGCCAATGAACAACTTGTGTAGAAATTGTCAGACGGGAACCTAACTTGCTGTGTAAACTTTCAACAGAAACACAACAAAATATTATTAAAAAAAGAAAAAAGAAAACTGTAGGGGAAATAAAATTAAAAACAAAATCTGCTCCCAACCCAGAAAAATCTCTCCACCAAGACATAAGAGAAAAGCTTTATTTTCGAATAAGCACTAAGAATGTGATGCATCAAAGGCAATCCGCTAAAGAGATTGCAAAAGCAGAGAGAAATCTGACCCATTTTATAGCTGAGGGGGGTCCCTGGGCGCTGCAAATAGTTAAGTGCTCAACTTAAACTGAAAGTTTGACGGTTGGAACCCACCTAGAGGCGCCTCCGAAGAAAGGCCTGGAAATCTGCTTTTGAAATGTCACAGCCTTGAAAACCCTATGAAGCGCAGTTCTACTCTGCACACCTGAGGTGCCATGAGTCAGAATCAAATCAATGGCAACTTTTGTTTTTTTTAATAGCTGAGTGGATACAACCTATTACATTCATATTCAAAGACAAAATTGCTAATTTTCTACTATCTTTATTGCCAGAGGTAGATTTGTAATTTGGGCTGGGGACCACCTGAGGTTATGCTAATCTTCTTCCAGGAAACCAGAGGAAACGAGGATTACCTGAAGTGACACTTTAAAGAGACGTGCCAGGTCCTTGTTAACACTTTAGATTTACTTTTCAAAGAGACAGATAAAGAATGTAAAACGACAAGTTATCTAAAGGGAATTCTGAAGGAACGGGAGGAGGGGCGCCTCTTTCCTTATTTTCAACGGAAAATTAAAACCTTTTTCTTTCAGTTTGTCTTTGTCCTTACAAAACCCTATGGAGCACAATTCTACTCTAACATACGTGGAGTCGCCATCAGTCGGATTGCCTCGAAGGCAACTGGTGCTGGCGAGCTTACTGGGAGAATGAAAAAATAGGTCAATATTCCTACGGGGTGAAAGAAGCGGGATGGAGAATCACCACCGAGAGACATAATATACTTCTTTGTATTTATATTTGGAGACCCAAACACAGGAAAGGAAAGGAGGGATACGGAGAACAGTCATCCGTCTTCCAAATCCTTGTGTTAGTTCCTGGGCACTGTGTCTGGGGTTCTTTGTTGGAGATAGGTCTCCCTGTGTGATTTCACTCAGCCTCTGGTCTTCTCAGGTATGGGATTGCGGGAAGCGTGAACGTGACGGGAGATGAGGTGAAGAAACTGGACGTGCTATCCAATTCTCTGGTGATCAATATGCTCCAGTCTTCCTACAGCACCTGTGTCCTGGTCACAGAAGAGAATAAAGAGGCCATTATCACAGCCCAGGAAAACAGGGTGGGTGCCGCCCAGGAGGGCTGATGTTCCGTTCCTTACCAGTAGAGGGTGGTACTGAATTGGGAAGAATCTGGTTGCCTTGCTTTTCTTTAGTTTCTGGGGTTTTCCTCTATTTGTTAACGCTTGTTTTCTGGAAACAAAGGATTGCATACCTTTTTAGTTGGAAATCTTATGCTGTCTCATGAAAAAAAGACTCCATAGCAGAGCAGCGATTCATTCAGGAAATAAAGCAGAGTGGTTTACCGCAACACCTCGGTGGGTGGGTTTTCATTTCGTATACCATACCATGTGCTGCCGTCATTTGGGGCTTGAAAATTGCAGAGTTCAGTAAAAAGTATTGCTGCTGGGAAGAGCTGTACTATACAGCCTCTTACCCTTCCTACCACCACTTCTCATCTCCCCACCCAACTCTTTTCCCCAAGGGGGCTATAGTTTCAGCAGAAATTACTTCTTGCCTGGCAATTAGACTCATCTAGAAAAGCAGTCGTAAAGACCACGTGCACTTGTCTGAATTTAATGGTAAAGTTGGCTAGTGTGGGACGTGGCTGGGGACGGTCTCTATTCTCTGCAGGTTCACAAACAGTTTATTAAAGAGTCTCATAGCAACTCTGTAGGGCAGAGTAGAACTGCCCCATAGGGTTTCCAGGGAACAACTGGTGGATTACAACTGCTGACTTTTTGGTTAGCAGCTGGAGCTCTTAACCACTGTGCCACCAGGGCTCCGGAAAGAAATCACCAGAGACTTTTTACAGACCTACTATATACAAGACACATTGAGAGCCCTCAGAGATGGGGACCTGAGTCTCCTGGCTAATTAAATGTTGGTAATAAAACATTGGGAGTCCCTGGGTGGTGCAAACAGTTAACATGGTTGCAGGCTATCCAAAACCCAGAGACACTTCAGAAGAAAGGCCTGGTGATTTACTTCCAAAAAATCAGCCACTGAAAACCCTATGGAGCACCGTTCTACTCTGACACACATGGGGTCACCATGAGTCAGAGTCAACTCAACAGCAACTGGTTAATAAACCATCAGGTAAAATGGGAGAACTCGTGACCCTCCTCACTCTATCTTCTGGTCTTCACACCAGACAGGCAGGTTGGATGCAGCCAACCCAGAACAGTATCTTTATTCTCCTGACATATTTATGCATACCAGCTATCTTAATAAGAGCTCAGAAGCCCTGAGATGTTGTTTTGGGATATTCTGAAGTGTTTTGGCAAAAATTCTCCAAAAATGGCATTCACATTTTTAAAAAAATCCCCCCAAGGATTGTGATGATGGGAAGATAACCTGATGGAGTGTTCTTCCCTCTGTTCATTTAGGGCAAATATGTGGTCTGCTTTGACCCACTGGATGGATCTTCCAACATTGACTGCCTGGCCTCCATCGGAACCATATTTGCTATCTACAGAAAGGTGAGTAGATGGTCTGACGGGCAAAGACTCCTTCCGGGGGTGGTTTCCTGGAAGGTTCCTGGGCTGGGAGCCGCAAGTCTGGAGTCCTAGCCTCTGTCCTGCTGATAACTAGACATGCCACTGTCGGCAAATTGTAAACCTCTCTCTGCCTCGAGTTCCTCGCTGGAAAAACTGAACTGGCAACTCTCCTTCTGCCTTCTCCACAGAATACTTGTGAGGTTATGGATTAATTTAAGTCTACAGATTAAATTGTGTACCCCAAAATATATGTTGGAATTCTAACCCCTATACCTGTGGTGATCCTGTTTGGAAACAGGGTTTCATCACTACGTTTATTAGATTATACCTGAGTAGGATGTATTCTAAATCTATCTCTGAGTTATAAAAAGAGTAGATTAGACACAGAGAGATGCATGCATATGGGGTAGACAGATGCCATGCGAGGGTCTCCAAGGAACCCCCAGGACTACCTACAAGTAAGGAATTGACATGGCCAATACCCTGATTTGGACTTTCTGCCTTCAGAACTGTGAGAAAATAAATTCCTGTTCTTTAAAATCACCTGCTGGTGGTATTTCTGTTACAGCAGCAGTAGCTAAGACATGCGATGAAGTGAGATAATAGACAGGACCTTGTTTTGGAAATCTGGATGGCTACACAAGGGCTGGGCACGAGCTTCATTTTGAAGGGCAACCTATCAAAGACTCGGAGTCCTTGGGTAGTGCAAACGGTTAATGTGCTCAGCTGCTAACCAAAAGGTGGGAGGTTTAAGTCTACCCAGAGGTAACTCGGAAGAAAGGTCTGGTGATCTACTTCCAAAAAATCAGCCATTGAAAACCTGTGGAGCACAGTTCTACTCTGACACATGTGGGGTCACCATGAACAGAGGGGACTTTGCTTTCCTAGTTTGTGTTTCTCTTTTTCTTGTGAAGAGAAGAAAGAGACTTTTGCTGAGTAAGCAGGAGAGAATGGCACAAGGACACTTTCTTTGGTATCTGAGAAAGTTAAAGACAAGATAGTGTTTCAAGGTGAAAATGGAGTTTAATTCTTCTGGAACCCAGATTTCTGGCGTCCTTGGAGTTGAGAGACCCATCTGGGCCATTGCCATGAGATCTTCCTTTGAACCTTGAGCCTTGAGAAAACGAGTCTCCGAAAATCACCTTTAAGTCAAACAATAGCCTAGTAAGCAGCTTACTGAGACCGTTTTGTCTTAGGCCTTGGGCTCTTTTGAAGAATTATCTATGTGCAGTCAATTTTGAAAAACAGGAACTCCAGGGTCAACTGGAAGCTGTGTTTTAGGTTAAATTGTTATGAAAACATTATTCTGGCCCCATTTCCATGGCAGTGTCCATAGGACGGAGGGTAAGGCTCTTTGGAAGTTCCTTCATCTTCGGAACACTTTGACTTTCTAGTCAGAAGTTGCCCAATTTGCAAATCATATATTAAATAAACTTCAAATCAATTTACATTATTGGCTTAATATGATTTTTTTTTTAATCAAATGTTAAACATGAGATAGGCTAGTAGAAGAGCTTTGTTTCTTTCTTTGAGGTACAGCTTAGGGGTAAAAAGAAAGTAATAGACAATGTAATGTTTATGAGAGTCTGAAAAAAGACACCTAGCTATATCTTCAAGATGGATTTAAATATTAGTTTTACCACTATGGCTAACATTCTTGACCACTGGTCAAGAGCCAGGCATAATCCTGCATGTACTGTATTCCTGGGTTAGTCTTCATCACAACCCCATTAAAAAAAAAATCAAACCCATTGCCATCAAGTTGATTCTGACTCATAGCGACCCTATAGGACACAGTAAAACTGCCCCCATAGGGTTTCCAAGGAGCAGCTGGTGGATTTGAACTGCCAACCTTTTGGTTAGCAGATAAGCTCTCAACCACTGTACCATCAGGGCTCCACAGCCCCATTAGGGAGATACAAATACTAGCATCATTTTTTTTTTCCTGATGAACAAATAAAAGGGCAGAGAAGGCGAGCAGCTTGCTTAACATCTCCCACTCAGTAAGTATCAAAACAGATTCACAACTGAGTGGTCTAACTCCACCATCATGACTCTTACTATCTTTTAAGACTAATTGGTTTAAAAAAACAAAACAAACAAACAAAAAAACCAGTTGCCACTGAGTTCACTCCTACTCCTTGTGACTTTGTGTGTCCAAGTAGAGCTGTGCTCAACAGGGTTTTCAATGGTTGATTTTTTGGAAGTAGATCGACAGGGCCTGCGATATGCAGATGACACAACCTTGCTTGCTGAAAGTGAAGAGGACTTGAAGCACTTACTGATGAAGATCAATGACTACAGCCCTCAGTATGGATTATACCTCAACACAAAATAAAAATCTTCACAACTGGACCAATAAGCAAGACCATGATAAACAGAGAAAAGATTGAAGTTGTCAAAGATTTAATTTTACTTGGATTCACAGTCAATGCCCATGGAAGCAGCAGTCAAAAAATCAAATGATGTCTATTGCACTGGGAAATTTTGCTGCAAAAGACCTCTTTAAAATCTTAAAAAGTAAAGATGTCTCTTTGAGGACCAAGGTATGTCTGACCCAAGCTATGGTCTTTTCAATAGCCTCATATGCGTATGAAAGCTGGACAGCAGAAAAAGGAAGACTGAAGAAGAATTGATGCTTTGAATTAGAACATTGAGTATACCATGGACTGCCAGAAGAACAAACAAATCTGTCTTGGAAGAAGTACAGCCAGAATGCTCCTTAGAAGTGAGGATGTTGAGACTTCACTTACTTTGTACTGGTTTCAGAAGGGACCAATCCCTGGAGAAGGATATCATGCTTGGTAAAGTAGAGAGTCCGTGAATAAGAGGAAGATCCTCAACAAGATGGGTTGATGCAGTGGCTGCAACAATGAGCTCAAACATATCTACCATTGTGAGGATGGCAGAGGACCAAGCAACGTTTCGTTCTGTTATACATAGGGTTGCTATGAATTGGAACTAACTGGACGGCACCTACCACCACCAACAACAACAACAGATCACTGGGCCTTTCTTCTGAGGCTGCTCCAGATGGACTCGAACCACCAACCTTTCAGTTAGCAGCCATTGTATCACCCAGGGACTCCACACACCTGTTGTTTTTATGTGCTGTCGAATCAGTTATGACTCAAACAATAGTGACAATACAAATTTTGGCAAGGATATGGAGAAACTACATCTTTCATACATTGTTAGTGGAAATGTAAAATAGCACAGCCACTCTAGAAAATAGTTTTCCAATTTGGAAAAAAAAAAAAACCTAAAACATACACCTATCAAGTGATCCAACAATCACACTCCTGGGCACACATACCAGGGTGCAAATCAACATGTCAACCTGGCCCTGTTTCCTCTGAAATCTCTAGGGAAAGATTGTTTGTGGTTGTCCCAGGCATTCTTTGGCTTATAGCTGCATCTTCACACAGCTGTCCTTCCTCTGTCTGTCTTTCTGTGTCTCTTCTCTTTTATAAGGACACTACTCAAATTGGGTTAGGGCCCAACCTACTTCAGTATGACCTCATCCTAACTGATAACATTGTCAAAGACCCTATTTTCAAATGAGGTTCACAGGTACAAGGGTTAGGACTTCACCACATCTTTTTGGAGGGCACAGTTTAATCCATAACAGATATCAACCTCAGACAGCTATTGAGGATGTAGAATGAGCTATTGCGCAAAATCAGAGCTCAATAATCTTAGTTATTTTTGTAATGATTAAGGAGCATGATTTACTATTATTAGGAGGGGATGTGATTTTAGCATCTTGAAGTGCTCTTCTTGGTGGGATGTAGATGGGTGTGTTCAGAAAATAAGGAAGACATCCAAGAATGGCCTTTGCCATGGCTCAGTTACAAACGTTGATTAACATGGCAACTAGTTTCCTCCGGAAGCATTTGCTGCAGCTGGAAATTCTGAGAACTGAGCTTCCTCCAATGGTTCGAGGATATCTGAACCCCAGGCCTCTGGCAAACAGTTCTCACCAGAGACAACAATTACACACATATTTCTCTGCTCTCTCCGCAGACCTCAGAGGACGAGCCTTCAGAAAAGGACGCCCTGCAGCCTGGCCGCAACATTGTGGCTGCTGGTTACGCACTCTATGGGAGCGCGACCCTGGTGGCTCTTTCCACTGGGCAAGGAGTGGACCTCTTCATGCTTGACCCAGTAGGTACTGAATGTGGTGGCATCAGCACTTGGGCGCCCAGGGCCTCTGTGTTATAATTCCAATCCCCTGGGGTAATTTCCTTGCTTTTGGGGCCAGAGAGCCAGAGAGACTTGTTTGGGGAGCCAACACCATCATCAAAAAACATTAAGGATGTCAGTCCAAGTGAGGGTGTTTAGGGAATTCTACAGTCAGTTGTATCAACCCAGACCCTGCCTCTAAAGTATTTATAGTCCAAACATGCATTCAACATTTTTGGCTTATGGGAATGCCACAGTTTAAGAATCCCAATGTCACTTATTTTCAGACAGAAAAATGGTTTGTTTAGAGCAGAGCCATCCAGGAGAACTTCCTGTGATGATAGATGTCTTAGTCAGGTTCTCTAGGGAAACAGAAGCAGTAATATATAAATACTTGTATATATTTCAAGGAATTGGCTCATGCAGTTGTGGGGGGCTGGCAGATCCAAAATCCACAGGACAGGTGACAGGCTGGAAGCTCCTACAGGCTTGCATCCCAAGATCCATAGGTCAGGTGAGGCGAAGAATGCAGAGTAAAGTTCTGTCAAAATGTTTACTTACATTGTGGCGGCAATACACACCCTAGGGAAATTCCCTTTTCAACTGATTGATTGATTGCATTATGTTAGGTTACATTGTGGAAGCTAATTACATTATAACTTATACTGGATTACATTATGGAACTGTTTGGCCAAACATCTGGGAATGAAAGCCTAGACAAGTTGACATATAAAGTTAACCATCACAGTGGATATGTTCTGTCATCTGCACTGTCCAGTACAGATGCCATTAGCCTCATGTAGCTGTTGAAACTTGAAATGTGGCTACTGTGACTGAGGAACTGGATTTGTAATTTTATTTCATTTTAGTTAGTTTGAATAGCCCATGTGACCAGTGCCTGGACAGCTCAGGTTTGGATGATTTCACCTAATAGACATGTCCTTCCCATGGGGAGAAGCAACTGGTAGAAAACTGTTCAATTAGGTTCTGTGTTACTCTACACATTTTTCACAGTGAGGAAATGATCACTGGTAAAAGCGAAAGAAAATATAATATCACAACCTGATCAAAGGAAGAAATAATTGAATAAAGACACAAGAGTTAAAAAAAAAAAAAAAAGATTTGAGCCCACATTTAGTTCAGGCACAAGGGGGCCACCTTGTGTTAACAAACTCTCAGCTGTGGTATAAATCACAATGTTAAGGCATTCGTTTACAGATGGGAGATACTGTTTCTGAGTGGCAAGGAGCTGGTCCCTGATAATCAGGCACCCTCTTCTCAAGGCACGTGGAAGGCTGTATTAATGATGGGAGGTTGTTGGCGAACTAGGGAATATATTTTCCAGATTGTGCTAAGACTCCACAACCCAAGCCATTCTCCAAGCTTCTGAGTGGCCCCACTCTAGCCTTTTTATCTCCACATTCACACAGAACAGGCTGCTCCATTCAGCTGGGCAAGTAAATACCATTGTTTAGATGACAGTTGTCTGTCATTGCTCTTCGCTGGGAAGCAAGAGAGAAAACAACCCCGGCTCAGTAAAGTAAAGTGTGTTATTAACCTGCTTCAGCGGGAAAGCTGAGGATCCAGGCTAGACATGGGCAGGTCTACAGGGCAGAGGCATGAATCACAGGAATGGCCTCATAGCAGGTTCAATCTGGTCTGGACACCACCACTGGTTCCTGGGTCCCTCGCTCAGGTTTCAAATGCCAGGGAGGAGTATCTAATTTGCCAAGCTAAGTACCTCACCTTTGGTTAAAGGCGGCCCAGATCCAGAGCCCTGGTGGTGCAGTGGTTAAGAGCTTGGCTGCTAACCAAAAAGTCAGCAGTTTGAATCCACCAGCTGCCCCATGGAAACCTATAGGGCAGTTCTACTCTGTCCAGTAGGGTCACTAGGAATCAGAATCGACTCAAGGGAAACGGGTTCAGTTTTGATTTAGTTAGACTGTCGTCTAATAGGGAGCGTTAATTCTTCAAAGGAAGTTAAGGTGCTTTTAGGAAGTAAAAATCAATGCTGGGCTGCTTCAAAGCAACAAATGCCCATGGCAGTAATTAGAGACCACCAACCAAAGACCATCAACATGCTCATGATAATAATAATAATAATAAAGTTGGGTTTACTGGGCAAGTGCGAATGCACTTTAGAGGAACTGTAGGGTATCTTGGTAAGAAGGAGCTGGGATGAGCTTATTATCACATTTGGGCTTTTGCTTGATTTGTACAAGGATTTAAGGAAAAGAGGGTCAGTTCTGGATTGACTGTTGTCTAGAAGTGGGTGCAATTAATAACTGGGTACCTTAGTAATTTTTATCTAGAAGATTAAAGTGCGGATAGAAATTCATCGGTAAAGGAGAAATTGTCACTCATGTTAGGTGGAGGAGGGGGTGTTTAGTTATTTATGTGGTTGCAGAGTGTCCTTGTCACTGTCTTGTTTGAGACATGGTCCCTTGGCCTTGTCTCTTTTTATATTCTGGGAGTGTCATTTATGTTCATTCGGGAACCTCCTCATCTAGCTGCCAACTGTGAACTACAATCTGGGGAGAATTTTACTTTCTCAAAATATTTGCCATTCATCAAAAAGGATTTGATTTCCAGGCTCAGATTTTCCTCAGAGAGACATCCAGCCTTTTAAAGTGAGATCTCCACCACCCGTTTGTCATCTTGTCATACCACGGTAACTTGTGTGTTGCTATGATGCTGTAAGCTGTGCCACTGGTATTTCAAATACAGTAGGGTCACCCATGGTGGACAGGTTTCAGTGGAGCTTCTAGACTGACAGACTGGTGATCTACTTCCAAAAGTTCTGGTGATCTTCTTCCAAAAATCAGCTAATGAAAACGCTATAGATCACAATATAATATTATCCAACATAGTGCTGGAAGATGAGCACCCTAGGTAGGAAGGCACTCAAAATACACAGTAGCTACAACAGTGGGTTTGGGCATTCCAACGATTGTGAGGATGGCACAGGACCAGGTAACGTTTTGTTCTGTCGTACTTAAGGTGACCATGAGTAGGAGCTGACTCAACAGCTACTAACACCACCAAGATGATATCTGAAACTAGCCAATCACATCCTTAGGGACTAATATCACCAGCTCTCAGAGGTAGGGGTCCCTGAGGGATGTCCTGCATATTGACCATGGTAGTTATGAACCTGTCTGTCATGGATTGAATTACGTCCCCCCAAAAACGTGTGTATCAATTTGGCTGGGCCCTGATTCCAAGTGGTTGTTCTCCATTTTGTGATTGTAATTTTATGTTAAAGAGGATCAGGGTGGGATTGTATAACACCCTTGCTAAGGTCACATCCCTGATCCAAGGTAAAGGGAGTTTCCCTAGGGTGTGGCCTGTACCACCTTTTATCTCTCAAGAGATAAAAGGAAAGGGAAGCAAGCAGAGAGTGGGGGACCTCGTACCACCAAGAAAGCAGTGCCAGGAGCAAAGTGTGTCCTTTGGACCCGAGGTCCCTGCGTGGAGAAGCTCCTAGTCCAGGGGAACATTGACGAGAAGGCCAACAGAGAAAGAAAGCCTTCCCCTGGAGCTGACGCCCTGAATTTGGACTTTTAGCCTACTTCACTGTGAAGAAATAAATTTCTCTTTGTTAAAGCCATCCACTTGTGGTATTTCTGTTAGAGCAGCACTAGATGACTAAAACACTGTCTATACAGGGGCTGGGCACAATTTTATTAATAACTTAGGATTCCTTCAAATTTTGCCAACTATTTCTTTATGCCAAGTGAACACATTTTCTGATTAAAGGGATTTCCTCTTTTCCTCAGAGAAGAGTTGCTGGAGTACCAGCGACATTTAATGAGTTCTAGGATTAAGTCATTAAGATAAACAAAATAACTGGACCACAAATTAATGGTCAAGTACATCCTTCTCCTTGTTAATGGCCCAAATCTTCCTAGAAACACCAGGAATTAAATGGGAATGAGAACTTGAGAGGATAAAGACAGCTAGATTCCTTATGCGTGAGCAACCTAGATGGCAGAGCAACAAAGTGTGAATCACCAGTGGAAGTTACAAAGGACTAGAAAGAAAGCTTTGGGCCCTCTTTCCTTGTAATTATTTTACCTCTGCTTAAGATTCTCCTGTAGGCTCAACAGTATTACTGTTCTTGTTACAATCCATAAAACCATCATTAGGAAGGTTCCAGAATGACTGTGGCAAACCCTTAGGTTCTTCCAGCAGACCACATCTTCTAATGTTTTCTGACTACAGGGGAGTGTGCTGTTGGCTTGTTTCCTGGTATCTGTCTTCATCTTTCTAGGCTCTTGGTGAATTTATCCTGGTGGAAAGAGACGTCAAGATAAAGAAGAAAGGCAAGATCTACAGCCTCAATGAGGGATATGCCAAGTATTTTGACCCTGCCACGACAGAATATGTGCAGAAAAAGAAATTTCCTGAGGTGAGTGAAGAAAGCCTTTGGCTGTAGCAGGAAAAATGGTGCCTCCGTAGGTCTGTTTGGGAAGTGGCTTTGGGGACCTGGCTGGAAAGAGACGGTGTCACTGCTTATGGCTCTGGTTAGTATGAGCATGGTAGACTCTGCCTTTCTTCATAAGCAAATAATGTCTTTTGTAGCTAAAAGTTACCTGCTAAAGGTGATACTCCCCAATTAAGTTTTTCTAGGAGAAATTGTTTATGAAGAAGGTAAGGACCATGCCGAGTAAATAAGTAACTCACAAAAAGACACATATTGCAGGATCCCACTCACATAAAATATATGGAACAAATAGAGACACAGTTTATGGGTGGTCACCAGAGGCGGGCAGGAGGGAGGGGAAAAGAGGACTCAGTGCTTAGGGGATACTGAGCTTCTGGTAAGGGTGATGGAAAAATTTGGGAATGGATAAGAGTTGAGCAACATGATGAACATAATTAATGTCTCTAAATTGTATATGTGAAGATTGTTGAAATGGCAAATGTTTTGTTATGTATATATTTACCAAAATTTAAAAAGAAGAAGAAGAAGGCAGGGACCACATTTTTATAAGTCGTTCAGACTAGAACCTTCATGAAGTCCTTTGTTGGATAAACTACTTCTTGCAGTTTCTGGTCACTCAGTTATATTTGATTTTAAAGGGAATATTTATATTTGAAAGTCCCATTCACATGCTGTAATAGCAGGGCCTTGGGTTTAAGCCAAGTTTCAGGAAGTTCTCTGGCTGTCAGTGTAATCTCTGAGTTCTGAACTTCATGTGGCTATTAATTCAGCCCAACAATGCATACGAAGAGAGCTTTTTTTTAAAAAAAAATTGTGCTTTAGGTTATAGAGCTAATTTAGTTTCTTATTAAAGAATTAATACACATATTGTTTTGTGATGTTAGTTGTCAATCCCTCGAAGTGTCAGCACTCTCCCCTTCTCGACCTTAAGCTACTCATTTCCACTTGTCCAGCTTTCTTGTCCCCTCCTGCCTTCTTGTCCTTGCATTGGGCTGGTGTGCCCATTTACTCTTTCATATACATGGTTGAGCTACGTGTAATATTGTTTGTTTTATGGGCCTGTCTAATCGTTGGCTGAAGGGTGAACTTCAGAAGTGACTTCAGTACTGAGTTAAAAGGGTGTCCAAGGGGCATACTCTCGGGGTTTCTCCAGTCTCTGTCAGACCAATAAGTCTGGTCTTTTTTTGTGAGTTAGAATTTTGTTCTACATTTTTCTCTGGCTCTGTCCAGGACCCTCTGTTGTGATCCTTGTCAGAGCAGTCGGTGGTGATAGCCGGGCACCACCTAGTTGTACTGGACTCAGTCTGGTGGATGCTGTGGTAGTTGTGGTCCATTAGTCCTTTGGACTTATCTTTCCCTTGTGTCTTTGGTTTTCTTTTCTTTTTTTTTTTTTATTGTACTTCAGGTGAAGGCTTACAGAACAAATAGTTTCTCATGAAACAGTAGTACACATATTGTTTTATGACATTGGTTAACAACCCCACAACATATCAACCCTCTAACTTCTCAACCTTTTTTTTTGGTGAAAATACACATAGCCAAAGATACACCATTTCAAAAATTTCTACATGCGTCTTTGGTTTTTTCATTCTCCCTAGCTCCAGATAGTGTGGGTTCAGTAGATGTACCTTAGATGGTCGCTCACAAGCTTTTAAAATCCTAGACACTACTCACCAAAGTAGGATGTAGAACATTTTCTTTATAAACTATGTTATGCCAACTGAAGCTGTGATCATGGTCCCCACAGCCCTCAGCCCAGTAACAAAAGAGTTTTTTAAGACAGGCATGAGATTAGAAGGAATCCCTGGGTGGCACAAACAGTCAAGCCTTGATTACTAACTAAAAGGTTGGTGGTTTGAACTCACTCAGAGGTGCCTTGGAAGAAAGTCCTGGCAATCTGCTTCCAAAAGGTCACAGTCATTGAAAACCTATAGAGCACAGTTTTACTCATGGGGTCGCCATGAGTCAGAATTGACTTGATGGCAACTGGTTTTTCTTGGTGGGACCAGAGGCAAAGAATTTCCAGATCAAATATGTCAGATTTGGCCTAAATTGTAAATGAAATGAAAGCTTGTTTCTCATGTGCTCTAGAGGAAAAGAGTTCTCAGGGTTCTGTGGGACCAGGTAGCACACTTAGTCAACAGGATGCTGGGACCTGCCTTTGCGGCCTCCACCTGAAGCTTTAAGGAACTTTCTTTCTTTCATTTGTTTGATTTTAAGCTAAATCATCAGAAGTGTAGTTTCCTGTGCCTCTCCTTTGTAGGGCATGATTTTGCCAATAACATATAAACCCATTAGAAGTCTAAAGGGCAAAAGTAACGGGATATGATTTGTGAGGCTGATAAAGTAAAAATTACACACCAGTTCACAGAATTGTAGCTGGTTTCATAGTGGTTACAATTCTAGGCTAAATTGTGCCCGTTTAGAAACCATGTTGTTATTGTCACCTGCTGCCCAGTTAGCCCAAGACACATGGTGACCTCATGTACAATGGAACAAAGTGCTGCTGGCCTTGTGCCACCCTTGTGATTGGCTGCAGAGCAGAATGTTGTGATCCACAGGTTTTTCATTGGCTGATTTTCGGGAGTAGATTGACAGGCCTTTCTTCCTAGTCTGTCTTAGTCTGGAAGCTCCGCTGAAACCTGCTCAGCATCATAGCAACACACAAGCCTCCAGTGACAGATGGGTGGTGGCTGCACATGAAGTACATTGACTGGGAATAGAATCCAGGTCTCCCGCGTGGGAGGCAAGAAGTCTATCACTAAACAATCAATCTGTAAAGGGAGATCTTTATTTTAACACTAAAAAATGGAATTTCTGTGCAAAAAAAGTACCACAAATAATTTTGAAGCACAAATTGCAAACTGAGAAAAAATATTTACGATTTATACAACAGACCCAGGTTAATAGCCTTAGAAATCGATTAATAGGAGTACCTGGGTGGTGCAGATGGTTAAGTGCTTGACTACTAACCAAAAGGTTGGTGGTTTGAACCTACCCAGAGGTGCCTTGGAAGACAGGCCTGGCAATCTGCTTTCAGAAGGTCACAGCCTTAAAAGCACTGTGGAGTCATTCTACTCTACATACATGGGGTCACTGTGAATTGAAATCAACTCAATGCCAACTAACAACAATGAGAGAATCAGTAAGCAAAGGATGAATACCCAAACAGGAAACCAGGTAAAGGATCTGAGCATGCAAGTCATGGAAGAAATGCAAGTGTCCAGTAAGAAATGAAAAGATGCTAGTAAAGCAGGAAATGCAAATTAAAATAACATTGCAATATCATATTCCCCTAGGAGATTGGCAAAGATTTGAAAGATGCACAGTGGTCAGTGTTGTAAGAAAGTAAGCACTCTGGTATACTGTTAGAGAAAACATACATGTTACATCCTTCCTGGAGGGCAATCTGGCAATATGATTTCAAACATTAAATATCCATACCCTTTGCCTCAGCAATTTATCTTAACTTCCCCCCAGGAACTTATCCTAAGGAACTAATAAGTCATACAGAAAAGATAAATGTGTAAGGATATGTCAATGCCACATTGTTTGTAACACCACCAACAGAAGAAACTATTAAAATGTCCATCAGTGAGGGACTGGTTAATAAATTATAGGACATCCACACAGTGAAATATTGTGCTGTGCAGCCATTGAAAGGTACGGTCGATCTTCTTATATTGATGGTGAAACGTCCACAAATATGAAGTGAAAGCAATAGGTTAGAGAACCAAATATAAAGTATAATCTCATACACACACTCAGAGAAATACATATATGCATAATAGTGGTTAGTGGTTTACTGGAAGTTAAGATTATAGGATTCTTCACTTTCTCTGTATTGTGTAAATGTGTGCAGTGACCATGTGTTATTCAAAAACAAACAGATCATTCCATTTTGAAAAAGGAGTCCCCTTTCTCTCTATCTTGTCCTCTTCACTTTCCCTACAGCGCTCATTCTCTGTGGGGTTGGGAATAAGGGTAGGTCCTCCTGGCTCAGTTGTACCCAGAGAGGTTTTTCAAGCTGCACACATCCCATCTCCCCAGCAGAAAGAGAATACAGGGGGTTTGGGGTCTAGTCTCTACTATGAGCTGGTGGCATGCCAGTGGGCAAGTTACTCAACTTCTCTGTAAAACAGAACCCCTCAATGACATTTTAGAGCCTTCCAGTCCCATTTTAACTTTATCTCCTCCCAAATAAAAATCTGTGCTCTTCTTTTTAAACTTCCTCTTATGCCCTTTCTCACAGCCCAGCTTAGATATTTTGCCTAAGGCTAGAAGAAGGGCACTGATGATCTAAAACTGACAGACTAGAAGATATTTGACAGGAGAGGGATGCATTCCCTTGTCAGTGGCCATTTTCACTGCCAAAGTGAAAAGTAACTGTTGGCAGGAAAAAGAACGATGGAAATAACTTTGGAAAAGCAAAATGAGAGCGTAGAGGCCAAGAGGTCACTTTGAGGTCACTGCCTCTGTTCAAATCCTGACTCTGATAGCTCTGTGAGCCTGGGCAAATTTCTTCATTCTCTACGCTTCCATTTCCTTATCTATAAAGGGGGCATAATGATAACTTCGAACTCAAAGGGTTATTGTAAGCATTGAATGGAAAAAAAAATCCATGAAAAACACTTAGCACAATGCTCAGTATTTGTTATCTAACTGTTATGACCGTACAGAAAGATGATGAAGTATTAGGGGAAACAATATGAGTGAAGCCATTTACTATATTGAATGGCTTCTCCTTGAGCAGTTAAGAGCACTGAATAGAATCCAGGGTTTAATAGCCAGTTCACTGAATTGATGTCCATGGGTCGGGGCTGACTGTATGGAGTTAAGCACTTTGCTAGGTGCTGTTTGGTCCTGGTTGGAGTAAGAGGCATAAAGGTGGGGAACATGCATGATCTCCCTTGAGAGCCTTTAAAACTGGTGTTAGGATTTTAGCATTTTGGGATCAGCTCCAA